TTTGTAAAATTGAAAATTTACTCGTGAATACTGTCGTCCGATGACAGATCGGAAATTGAACCTTAGACAATTTTTAGAAATTTTTCAGATACGTGAATATTGAAAACGGACACATGAAATAAAGGTTAAATTGAGTTTCAGGTAGGTCTTTACTCGAGTTAATGCAAATTTATAGTTTATTGGTAAAAATTAAAGAAATATACTTTTCCTTGCATCGTGGGAAGAAAATGATTCAAAAATATTCGAACAATCTCTGCAATTTTCTTTATTCAAGAATTACGTCAAATTTCTGCAAACAATCAATATACCTCGGTTTTCAAATTTAATTCCCAAAAATTCTATGGACAATTACTGCAAATATATTCCATCTGAAATGGTCTACCGTCAGTTTCTTTAAAAAAATTACGTCAAACAGCTTCAAACAATCGGCGTGCCCTAATCTTCAGATCAACTCTTAAAAACAGCTCTATCCAAAATATTCTATAATTAACAAAACACGCAACACCAAAAGAATAAAAAACGCTTTGGAGCACGAAAGAGCCATTCAAACGCGGCCAAACTAAAAAGGTGGACGTCCACAAAAGGAGAACGCATCGTAGACTCGCGAGATTTCGCGAGCGCACGCGTGCCGCTCATATTTCGAGGCCGCTAACAATTTCGCGCTTTTTTTGTTTTTATCGCGGGGCCGCCAAAAAGAGACGGAGAGAGCGTCGAAAAGTAGAGCGTGTACGTTTTCAAAGTAAAAGCTGAGAACGTGCGCGGCTTTGTCACCGAATCCCCCGTTGTCCCTGTCCATCTCTCTCCTTTGCCGTTAACGATCCGCGACAACGACGCGTCGTTGTTGCGAACCTCTCGCACGCGCGAAAATCCGCTGAATACGCGTGAACTACTTCTCCGGGCGACGAGGGATCTCTGTCCAAAGGGGAGTCCTGAGATCCGGCAATTTTTCGGCGCTGCTTCAAACGTGTGACACGTAAAATTGTGACTTCAATGTTCCTAGGTTGTTAGATGTTTGAAGTTGTTTGAATTCGAAGAACGATCAATGGTTATTTTAGTTCTGTAAGATTACTGAAGTCTGATTGTTGAATTTCAGCAAACAAAGCTCTAAACAGGACGTTGATAAAATTGTGATTGTAATTGTTTGAGACTGTTTGAACACGGAGAATGTAAGTTCAATACCGAGAATAATGGTCACTTTAATTCTCTAAAATTATTAAACTCTGAAAATTAAATTTTGCAAATGGAAGCTCAAACATGGGATCAACAGAACTGTAACTGTAATTGTTTGAGATTGTATGAACGCGAAGAATGTAAGTTCATTGCCAAGATTAATGGTCACTTTAATTCTCTAAAATTATTAAACTCTGAGAATTAAATTTTGCAAATGGAAGCTCAAACATGGGATCAATAGAACTGTAATTGCAATTGTTTGAGATTGTTTGAACTTGAAGAATGTAAACTTATCCCTAGTATTAATCGTGATTTTAATTATTCACGATTATCAGAGGTGCAAGTGTAGCATTCACAGAATCCGATTGATATTGTCTCAAGTTTGAAAATGTTTGAGAAGCATACGTTCAAACGTGCAATTCACCGCAAGTTTACTTATCCAAAATTAACTTCAACAAGTGAACCCAAATTGAATTGCTTAAATTTTAAACATTCGTATTCAAACCTACGATTAATCTCCCTTACAGCTGAAACAGAAACACAAGCAAACCGAAGAACGACCATGAGGCAAAAGGCAAGAATCAAAATCTTTCAGTCGACACACGACTTGTACGACCCTCGCCACTTTTTTCCCTTCTTTTTCCCTGCATGTAGGCGAATGATTAACGAGGGTTGCAAGTTTTGATGCACCCGGTGGCACGTGCATCATCCGCAGAGCTTACGAGCACACAGCTGCGTCTATCGTCCGCCTAAACTTCCGACATTTTTTCGTTCCTCCGTGTGGGGCTACGTCACGCGTGACTGACAATAATAAATATTTCCCCCGGTCACCACCTCGACGTCGACGTAGCGAAATTTTCCTTTTTTTCTGCTCTCTCTCTCTCTCTCTCTTGGTCGTTCGACCACCAGGGAAAAACACACATTTTTTCGCGCGAGTTTATGTGAACGGCCACGGGGAAATGCGAGACGATCGGTGAAACGAAAATCGAAACGATTTTATGGAACCTTCAACGCTTTCGACCACGTTCTTTTTTACGGTTTTTCTTTTTATTTTTTTAATAGATTGATCGGAGGTGGAAGGATAATTAATGTTCGTTGGTAAATTCGTCCTTTTTTCGATTTCTTTCGGTTTGCGTCGCCGGGGTGAAACACAACAGGTGTGTTCGATTAATTTTCGTCGAGCAGTCAAGTTGGGTCGATTTGTTATCAGTTTGTTTGCCGCTGGCAGTGGAAGAGCGAATGTTTAACTATTTCCACGCGGTTGATTTGTTAATATTTATCACGTATCGTAATTTTCGGTGATTTTTCAGCACGTATAAGTCTGCGAACGTTGGAACGAAATTGACTGAACTAGAACGACTGATGAGTGATATTTTTATGCAGCTGTCCGTGGTTCTTTCAAATTGCTGCGATAACGTTAAAATACAGCTGTGACTTTTTGACAGAAACATGAAACGTTTGTTTCTATTATCGGTTATATTTCTAGGCGTATGAAATGTTACACATTTTTTAACGCGCCTTTAAGCTCCATGAGTGAAAAAATTGATTACTGTGCACTGTATGTATTAACCTAGCGTGTATAAAATTATTTCGGGAATGTAAGGTTGAAGGAAAATATTTTATGCTTTTTAACTGTTTTATTTAATTAAATTTCTGTGATACTTTTCTGAGAAACTCTGTCATTACGACAGTGAGTAAGGAAGGGAAAATAACGGAGGCTAAATTACGATATTAGCAAGATTAATAGACACATAAACACACGTAAAATTAATAATTTGTAACAACTGTGCAAATGAATTTTTTGGGAAACGAAGGCTCACATTGAGAAACTTTGCTCCACACTTTCTGTTCTGTTTTTTTAATCAGAATATTTTATGTAAAATACCATTCACCATTCTATCACACACTTTTCTCCACATAATAATCTCAACTAAGCGACAAACTTGACTTTCCTCTTCCTCGCTAAATAGAATTCGAGAATACTTCAAGTTTCCCCTTCTCGTGGTAAATAATATCTGAGAGTATTTAAATTCATCCTGAATCCTGAAAGGCTAAACATCGCGAAACTGCAGAAAAACTGAACCTCATCGTGCACAATGCGTCTCAATCATAGCATACAGATCTCCATTCGTCATTTCCACCAATCACCTCTCGAACCATCCTCAACTCTTTCAATTCGCGCTCGTTCATTCGTGAAAAAGCAGCCACGACTGATTAACCGCGTTTCCATCACACAGAGGGAATATAATTAACCGGGGGCAGAGGGGACGAGGCTGAAAAGAACGATTCTACAAGCAGAGAAAAGCGATCTCCCCACGGTTGCTTTGATCGACGTCGTGCTTTTGACGAATTTTTTCGTCGCTCGTGGAAAGATCGAGTAGGCCAGAGGAGGTGGTTCCTCTCTGCTCCGGTTTCAATGCACCGACGCGTCCGAATTTCCACCTTTTTAGTTGTCCGTGTTCAAGGCAAAAAGGGAGAAAAGCAGGAAGGCCGGTTTCGTGGAAAATGAGCGATTTCGTTGAAAAATAGCAGGGACAGAGTTCGGTTCTGCTGGAGTCCGAGAGAAAATGAATCTTTTGAGACGAGAAGAGGAAGGAGATTTGTATGTTTCGTGTATGGATTGCTGGGTTAGTTTGAAAAACAAACTATTCAAGACTGCAGGTTTGATTGGATGAATTTTGGTACTGAGTTCGTTCTGTGTTTATCCATTTTCAAAATGAAATAGCCGAGTCAGTTTTGACGAAGTTCTTAATTTCTAATTAGCTGATACTTTAGAAATTTTCCAAATTGCGCAGGCAACCAGGTACCCATTTCTATATTTTCCTTTGTAGGCAAAATTTAGGGTTTGGGGCGGCCCACGTGGTCGTCAGCCGCGCCGATCGGGACGGTGGCCAGGTTTATGGTACCGATGTGACCGTGGGTAAGACGTGCCATAAATCTGGTCACCAGAAGTAAAGGACGGAAAGCGACGTTTCCGGGCGAAACGGTTTTTCCGCCAAAAATCGCGGTAGAAGGGAACGTCGTAGGGGTACGTTCGAGAACAGTCCTAATTGGCGGAGAGAAGAAACGCCCTCGTCAAGGGAAGGTTTAAAACGGATAGCTTGTGGAAAAATAGGGTGTGTGGGAAACGAACTTTGCGTGAGAAAAGTATATTGAAGGAGCGTTGTTGAAAATAGGACTCGTGTCCGTGTAGAATACATTATTAGTTATTTATTAGAATTAAAACTGTCTCGTCTCTCGCCTTTATCATCTGATTCCGCCAAACCTCTCTCCATCCCAGACTCCCCTACACCTTTAACAATTTTCTATGTTCTTACGAAAGTATTGCAAAATCGCCCCGGATCCCCATTTTCGATTATTTTTACGTCGATATACCTTTTCAAACTAAAAATTCATGCAAACAATTTTAGATATTAAAGTTTGAAACCACTGTGAGCATTTTATTATTACGAGGATTAAGTGCTAATTGTTGAGTTAATTCCTAAGAAGCTATTCGAGGCTGAAATTTTTAAATTGTAACCTGTGGATCGCATCCAAATCTACCAAATTCGAGTTCTCTCCTGAGTTGCAATTCTATTAAGAAATATTCCAGAATGCCTACATTCTTCGAAGATATTTTCTTCCCATTACCAAACTTACCATTTCACAAATTCCTAACCGTTGATTCTTTATCGTCGACATTTCGACAGCGAGGTTTCAAATATTGAAATACCCTGTGATTTCTCTCTTATGCAAGGATCTTCGTCTTTATACAAACCAGTTAGGTGAATGCGAGACACGTGAGAGCTGCTGGCACGTAAATTATTAATCAGAATACTTCAGTGACTCACCTTCTTGGCGTCATTGTTGTTGTCCGCCGCGTGATGTGGTTGTGGACTCATTGCAGCACCATTGCTAACTGCTCCACTTTGCGACAGAAGCTCGTCGCTACCCCTCTGGAACATCCACAATGAGAAAAAAAAAAAATTAGTACATGCGTAGAGAGAGATCAACACCGTGTGATCGAAATTAGAAAAGAAAGTATACGAGAAAGTTAAGAGGAAGAAGAGAAAGAAATATTTATTATAAACCCATTGTGGCACAATAATACGTATAACAAATAACGGAAAACACAATTTAAGAGAAAGAGAAACAGAGGAAAGAAAGGAGAAAAGAAGAAAATACTGAATAAAGGGCCTAGCCGAATAAGCATGGTAAAAGTGCCCACAAATCGAATTGATCTTGGTGCACATCATTCGATAGACCGCTCGAAGAAAACCCTTTCTGCCAAGTATCAAGCTGGTAACCCTACTACTTGGGTAGTTACAGGGTGAAACGCAATTTACAGTTTAAGCTCCATTTCTCTTGTTCTGCTCTTTGAAAACTTATGAAAAAAATCATGGACATGCTACCCAATGGCATACATGTCTCTGAATTTTTTCAGAATTGTTGACTGCAAAAGCGATTTTTAAAAAATTCGGAAAGTTTATAAATGTTTTTATATTGAAATTATCAAATGACCACGTTTATATTTTTACAGTATTATGGTCTTGTTATGGATATTAATGTGTAATTTTTTCAGATTTCTCGAAGTGGGGGACGGCACCTAGAAAAATCAAAAACCGATGTTCGCTTATATTATTATTTTAGTTTTTCGTGTGACCATGTTCATTTTTCTACTGTTTTAGCAGTCTGTTATGGTTATTAATAATTTTTTCAGATTTTTTTGAGAAGTGGTTCATACTTAAAAAAATTATAAACCGATATCTTCTAACCTTTCGAACGCAGACTGGCATACTCGTATAATCGACATACTTTATTCATTAAATGGTCATTATATGCAGTTCCAAATACTTTCACATGTATTAAGTAAGTCAATACACTTAATTTGGACATATCCTTCTTTTTTTTTTTTTTTAACATGAGGGAAATCTTCCAAAGTCTCTCCTGGAGTGGAGAGGCGAGGTAGTGTGGGATTCTTACTCGATTTTGCAGTCAACAATTCTGAAAAAATTCACAGAAATACACGCCATTGGGTAGCACATCCGTGATTTTTTTCATAAGTTTTCATCGAGCAGAACAAGAGAAATGGAGCTTAAACTGTAAATTGCGTTTCACCCTGTAACTACCCTAGTAGTAGGGGTACCAGCTTGATACTTGGCAGAAAGGGTTTTCGTCGAGTGGTCTATCGAATGATACGCACTAAGATCAATTCGGTTTGGGGGCACTTTTACCACGCTTATTCGGCTAGGCCCTTTGTCAAATAAAGGTGGTGAGGGATATTTCTTTATTGAAACATTAACAAAATTCGTGAAATTTTCATTGTTACAATTGTTTCATATCTACTACAATTTTGAAGATATATCTACAGGAAAATAGGAAAACACACATTGACCTTTAACAGGTGTTTTCACACTCTGAAGATCCAAAAAGTAGCGAAAAATGAAAATTGCCCGACATACCTACTTCTATCGTTGTCTCCTGCAAACTTGCAAAGCTTCAGAGACATCGGAATTTTCGAAGCTGCAAATCTTTGATCTCATGAAGAATAATTTCCTTAATTTGCCATGATATAATTGCTTTTGAACTACTTACTTTTAAGAAATTGACGGTTTTACTTTGTAACGATTAATTTTCAGATGAATACCTAGTTAATTAATGACTACATAAGCTAAGCAATCGTTAATTAAAAATTATCCAGCGAGAAAACCTTGATATCGTGATTTTATTTCTACACAAAAACAAGAAACGTATTGTGGCTCTAATAATTTCATCACCCACTGTTACTTTCATAACCGAGCTGAATCTACCGCTCGATTAGGACAGCGTCGCGTTGTTATAAACATATGTGTAGATATTTTCTGTAAACATACCTGTTTACGAACGGAGAATCGCGAGAGCGATTAACGAGTTAGTGGCCTATAAAGTGTTAATAAACGTTTTATATTCTCTGTTATTTCGTATATAAAGTTCATTGAAATGTCGTCTACGGAGGAAACTCCAAAGCGCAACAATATCAACAATAAACGTGCCTCGTTTCTACGATTGTGTCAGAGAAGGTAGGCCTATGGGGACATGACCCAATCAGACCTGCATTCCTCGCGCTAGCCATCTCATCTTCGCACAGCACTACCACAACATCAACCCCCCAAATCCACACCCAACCAGTCCAATCCCCCATTAGTCGACCCACTCAACCGCGCTCGAAACCTTCTCCATCCGCCTAAAACCTCCGCCTGGCTTGCACCAGCCTGCATATTACACATCCCAACGTGGATTATTAAAATCCTTCCGACTCCGTAAACACATTTAACCGACGATTCTCCGCTGGTAACAGGATCAGGTGCCAGTTCCGGACTCTAATTCCACGAGTTGATCCCTCAAAGGAAGCAACGACGATAAACAGGATCCTCCTCCTCTTCGTCGTCGTTTCGATCGCTAGAATCCGCGATCTGATCGCGAGATTTCAGTAACGAGAGGTCGGAAGAGTATGGCGACCTTTCACCAAGGTGAAACACGCTCGTCGCAAGATAATTCATAAGCCCCACAGAAACGGGGAGGGAAAGGGGGTGGCTCTGCTGCCAGTCATATCCGCTCGAGAGACAGAATGGCAGATCAAAGAGTCCCGCAGGATCACGCCGCGGGATGGTAAGAAAAGACGCGACTCACCGTGAAAGGGGGACTCTCGCTTCCTTTGGCGAATATTTATGGCGAAAATCCTTCGCTATGGTCTTTAGTCGATAAAGGTGCTCTCTGCTTGGTTGGTTGGGTTCTCTGAGGACTGATTTTCGTGGTGCTTCAGGGGTTTTTGGTTTGGTAGGTGGTTTTGTTTTCGAACAGAGTAAAGAGAGTTACGCAGTCAGCTGATTTTACACATTTCAGACTCTTTTCTTCTTGGGAACCTAGGACTGCATCGAGTTCAGCATACCGTCGAACATATTCGAAATCTTTCGAAGTTTCTTAGTAATGTTTGTTTTCTTCATTCGTGAAAATGTTCATTTCAATTCTACAAATAAATATCTATCGTTTGTATAACATTCTCGTTAACGCGAATTCTACTAAAAATTAGAATAAAACAAAAATGATTACACCCTAATTCGTCCTATTTCCAAGACAATCGATACATTGTTCATCGAAAAAAAAAAGGTCTTACAAGATAAAAGTAACCGATTTCTCATCCCACAAGGTGTCCACAAGTAGAATAGAAAGGAAACGCAGGTCGACGTTCGAGGAGAAAGGAAAATTCCCTAAAAAGTCTGAACGACATCGAGAAAACGACGTACACGAGTTGAGTTTCATATATTCGCCGGATATACGGAGGTAGTTTCATCCCCTGGCCCAGCATCCGGTTCAGCCAGACCACCGGACCTCCTGTATTATTCACTTCCCGCGAACTTGCGGATTACGGGCTCTTCTGAGGCAAGGATGCTCGATCCTCGTCTTTCAATTCTCTCTTCTGGACCGGATCGAGATCTTTGATGGGTTTTGTGGATCAGTGGCTAGCAGCACCGGTCCAGCTTCTTTTTTTTTTCTTTTTGTTTTTTTGGAGAGTGAATTGAAAGGTGGACGCACGTGGACAGGTTCAGTACTGTCATCTCGTATTTTTAAAGAAAGATTCAAACACTTTTGCTGTGAATAGTGTGAAATAAGATAGAACGCGTCACAAGTGTGTCAGTAATATTTTTAACACATTGCGTACGGCACTCTGCTCCCTCAACGCGCTTCCAGGGCCCGCACATTTTTGAACGCTCGAAAAAAACTTTGTACAATGCATATATGCACTTTTTTTATTTTTCATTTATAAAGTATTCTTAAATATTACTACATATTTCTTATACATACCTAATAAAATTAAATCGATTAATTATTATTTATTTTACAAACTTGAATAATGCTTCAAAGTATGATATCCGGTGAAGCATTCTCCTTTGTGCAATGGTATTTGGCATAATTTGCAACTATATCTGGTTTCGTTCCTTGTTCCACTGGACGAACAGACTTTACACTTTTTTTTTTATTTCGCTAATCATTTGTCATAAGAATATGCAAGGCTTCGTTGCCTTGGTAACGCAAGAAAGGAATCTACTTTTAAATTCTCGAGTCGTCGATACGCGCGTATGAAGAAACATTAAAACGAGATATCTCGTAACGCGGCCACAAAGTTCGGTTTGCTATATACGAGATATCTCGTGACCCATACGCAATGTTTTTCACGCAAACAGCTGCCAAAACTTGACAATCACGAGCCGAGATGATTATTATTATTATTTATTTATAAACGGACCGAAGCCCTCTTACATAAATGTTTACAAAAAAGAAAAAAGGCTAGTCGTCATGTTTAAAGTTGTAATAGGAGTATGTGGTATGCTGAGTATTTCTTATGTTTTCAAGATTAATCGGTAACTATCACATTTTACAAACGACTCAGGAGAGCACGTAACACGTGTTGACGCGATATTTGAAAAGATTAAATCTAAAGTATTGCCGAACGAATTTAGCACGGAGTTGCATTGGGATCCATTATAAAAGTTGAAAGTAGAAGAGAGAATTCCAGCAGATGCAATTTCGTTAGTGGAAACATTTGAATTCGCGGGAAATGAGTTGGAGCCGGACCATGTGATACGAGGAAGGTTATAATCGCCGCGAATAATATAGTTACAGTTCGAATATTTGTCTAAAACATCAGAAATAGCAGAACAGTGTGCGGAGGCAAATAAACCACACCGATTATTAGGGGAAGAGCTGCAGATGTGACTTCGACAAATAAGTGTTCCACATTGAAAACGGTATTGATAGTGCCACTACTGCGTAAGGTGTTTCGAATCGCAATAAGAACGCCGCCTCCTCTGGAATATCAACTAGTTTGTTTAGATCGGTCGCATCGGTAAATGGTGTAGTTATTTAAGCCTAGCTCACTGTCAGAAAAACTATCGGTAAGCCAGGTTTCAGTTAGGAT